ATCATCATCATCATCATCATCATCATCATCATCATCATCATCATCGTACAGCGAAATACACTGAAGCGAACTTCGCTGATCGGTGCCAAACTCGCAATGCATACAAGGTGAGTGGTAAAATCTAAGGTGGACGGGGATTGGATATATTTTAAGGGAAGGAGGAGGTGAGCCACTTTGGTCAACCTAGAGTACACAATCGAACTGTGCATACACACCGTTTTAAGCAATCTGACCTGATAAGAAACGACAACAACAAATAGATGATTGAAAGTTAGAAATGGGACACCTGGGGATATTCACTTGAAATGAGTGGCCAGCCGTTTGTGTGCGGGATCTACGAGGAAGATCTGCGGGAGCGGGACAGAAGCGGAAAGTTCGTTAGTGCAAAATCCAAGGTATTGTCGATAGAATCAGGATAAAGAAGCGACTGCCCTATAGACACTCGATCTGTTACTTTTGATATTCTGTCTGCCCCTGATAACCAATCGCGAAAAAACGACCGAAAACGGTTACCAACATTATAATGTAAGGTGCAACCTGTCTAAGGATCCAGTGAACACAAGAAGCTGATTAAAGAAAGTAAACTTTCCCTCAAAACGGAGGTGGATTCCAGTGCACGACCGGATGACGTATTTCCCCGACCTGCTGTTACACAACCAACCCCTAGATCCCAAATATGTTACTAAGCGCGAACTCCTGAAACATTAACTCATCAAGTTCCCTAGGAATGACGGTTAGAAAGTGATAGGAGGTAAACTGTAAGATGCGGAAGACTGCGAGTAATCATAATAGCTGTAATATTTTCCGTCTGATCAAGAATGGGCTACGTAAACTAGGTGTAACGCAGGGTCAAAGTGTGATAATACACTGACTTACACCCTGCGACGAACTGGCCTCCAACGATTTGCTAACTTCTGCCAGAGGTTATTGCCAAATAGGTTACAATGACGGATATAAAGCCTCCGGCCTAGATAGGTTATCTCCGCTCATTCCTAAAGACGAGGGATCCGCCTTAAATTTTGAAGTGACGAAACTATTAGGTTTCTTATAGAAAAGCGAACAAGTTCTCGATCAATCGTGGTAACCAATTACCGTACCTATTTGCACGAGAGGGAGTAGAATCTCTTGTGAAAAGAAGCAAAAAACGAGCTTGATTTAAATGCCGTCAAAGTATCTCTTTGGTATCCTACCATCGGTTATCTGCCGCACGTAAACGGTGATCGCTTGAAAGGCAGATTGATTTTAGATCAGGTTGAAGATACATCGACCACATTTTNATTTTCATCCTTGGACAAATTCTCGAACACCGATGTTTCTTTCTTATGCTCATCTACCCTCCCAGAGCTGTAGTCGGTCTTCGATCCAGTGGAGCACATGGTACCCTAACACCACCTCACCTCGAAAGGTATTTCGGATAAGTTTCTATCTCAATGTGATCCCTGGTAACAACAGGCCAAACAGCCTTTGAGCCTTTGGTTTTTCTCTCTCCTGAGTTTATCACGGACGCGGTGTTCGTCAAGATTATGCTCTCGTTTTCCTTTGACATTTTAATAGTTTTGAGAATGATTGTTTCCGGGCGAGAATTGCAGAGCCCATACTCTCCCGGGTGGATAACTGTCTGAAAAGGTATTGCTTAATGAAAATGCACATAAGTTACAGGATTTTTACTATAGTCTGAATGTGTAGGTATGGGCACTTACCAACTTCGCTCTAACAGGAAAACCATCACGCGACAGCGCGAGGTCAATAAAAAGCGAAACGAATGTTGAAAAGGTCCGCGAAAGTGAGTGACTATAAAACGTTTGTTGAGTATGCGTACAAGGGGAACCCAATTGGTCAGGCACATTTACAGTCAAAATCAGCTCAGTTCAGCTTTTACAACCACCAACCATGGACTTTTTGTACGCCGGTTTTGGTTTCTGTCTTTTTGGTGCTCATTTGGATAAAAGAGCATGGGGAATGTTGCGAGAAGAGTCAAAGAAGATACAGAATTAACATTCAGTGAGAGGACGAAGAACCAATATCCAGGTTGGTGGACTACTGGTAGTTCACCCCAGGGGAGTTTGTTGAAAACCCTGATTCCACATCAAACAAGAGGTGGTAGTAGTCAGTAGCTCAATTGGGCATCAAGGCGTATTGACCGCTTTGGACGTTTGACCCCATCCAAAGGTCGTATGATCCGATGAACTGGATACCGGCCCCGAATGGATTGTGGTTTTCGCACACCGCTCCACTGCCTTGCGGGTCAGGCTTTGGCTACCCGAAGGCTCCGGTTGTGGATTCCTCAAGAGAATTTGCCAGCCTTTGCCTGGGCAACCTTACGGTATTCGGCCCACACGCCATACAGTCTGGCCTCAGACGTGTGCGAAATATATAAATAAATATACAATCCATTGGACGGGGTTCAACGTTCTAGGTGAACAATATACCTCGATACTCATCGAGCTGGTAACCACGACCAGGAAGGTGTGGTTCGTACGCCTATTCGCGGTTGGTTTGTAATCAGGATTTTTAGCCAGCTCCATTAGGTGAATTGCCAGTGATTCACCAACCCGGCTATAGCCTTGAATATGTGCTTTTCGTCCTTTCAATTCGGTGGGGAAACATTTCCACCACGAGGCAGTAAGCAGGGCTTCCTCAGCGGCTATTTAGGATGCTTGATTGTATGGTAGCATTTCGCGAGGTAACCAAGCGAAACTCATGACACCCACACCGACCATGTGGAGGCCTTCGGCGGCTCGTAGATAGAGTGCGCATTCTGTGATTCATGTAAATGTACTGTTCATTTGAGACCTGGAGTGGTAAACCACATAAGACCCTACTAGGTTAGGTGTGGTGCTGAGCCGGAAGATAATGCTGTTGTACGTAAGGTTCGCTATCTCACACTGCGTTAAAGTGTTCTACCTTCTAAGCCGTCTTATTTTGTATCTAGCCAAAATATCTACTTCTCTAAGCAGTAGTCGATAAAGACTAGTTATTTGTTCTCTTTTATAGTTCGATTCCACCGCATACAATTCATCCAGTCAACAGCCATCTCTCAATATCCTAGATGTAAGGATTAGATGTCCTGTTGGGCAATCACTTTATTGCTCTTGGTCGTCGTTACTAGGTTGATTTGTTCCCCCTGGAATCCGCCACTTATTCATACTGTGCTTATATGCCCCCCCCCCAACTAGAGGCCCAGGCTGCTTATCACTTTTATCAGTTCCATTACCAATGCTGCATATTCTCTAAAACAGCCAAGTGGTGAACTATTCATTTACAACCTTCCGCTCTTGAAATGCGCAATCAAGAAAAGTGAAATAATGAGTGCTTTCTCTGTCTATATCCCCAAATATTAGTTTTCTGATCTTGGGGTTCGTTTCGTGCACCGTAAATCCTGTTGTAGGAAAACGCAGCTGGAAGTATCTACATGTTTATTTGAGTCAGCAAAATAAAAATCAACCTATACACGAGAAGTAAGTTATTTTCTTGGCACTTTTCTCGGGCGTTTGCCATGACCATAATGCATATTGGTGTCGTCCGTGAGAGAAACCAAACGAAGTCCAGAGAGCGTAGCACCAGACAATGTAGACTGAAACCAATGAACGACGAACAATATCAGCAACTTACAATACGATTTGCACCGATTCCACGCAACTTGACTCGAACCGTATTGATTCCCAATTTTTGTGCCTTGAGGCCCATAGAAATGCCAAGGGTTTGTGCCGCTACTGTAGTTTTCTTCCGTGCATTCTGAAATCCTTCGGCACCACAACTTGACTTCGTTAGCACTCTTCCGTTACAATCCGTAAGCGTCGCCATTATGTTATTTCGCTTGGCCAGAATGTGTAAAATTGGAAGTTCGTAGTATGCTTTATCGCCAACTATTGATGTGAGACATTCTTCCGTAACTATATTATGACCTAGACTGATGAATGATGAAAGAAATATCATGAAGAGTTACATTTTTGGTGCAGCTGTTGCCTGTGCTACTTCTGTCAAAGATCCCGTACTGGACGACACTTGGTTCGACTGTTCAGCATTCGGAAGGTGAGTACTCAGAGATCGCGGTAGGAATAACGTATGGGGAAACCGAATAGTCATGAAAAGGCATCTCAAAATTGAAGTCATCTGGAGAGAGACAAACACGTTTACGTTGAACAAAGTCAAGGAAATGTCGGATATCTGATATTTACACTGCAATACTGATCACCTCAGAAGCGCAAAATTTCGTAAAGAACCCTCGAAATTATAGGATTCTCATCAACTTTCGCTTCAATCATCATGGGTGTACAGTTTGATGCGTTGTGAGCTCCTTAATGTCAGTAAAACACTAATCGGGGGAAGGCGTTGTCATCAATTGAGAAACCCTGATTCAATGCGCGGTTGCAGGCGCACGCCAGGATATGTGAACCTTCAAGGTAGCAAGCAGAAGTCATAGCACTGGATGTTGCATTTCAATTACGAAACCGATAAGGTCAACGTCATGTAAGTTTAAGAAAATGTAACCTTCCAAATTGGATTTATGATTAGAGTGAAGTGAAATGAAAACAGTTTGCAATCTAAATCAATAAACTCAAGAAGACGAAACTTCAGAAGTTGTGTCAGGTCAGAAAGTAGTTCGTACTTTTTTCGGCGGTAAGCTCTCTAGAGATCACGCTTATTCAAAGGCTGGAATACCTATAAGTCGGCGATATGCTTCATTTGGTAATTGATCACAAGATCTAGTAGCTATGGTAGACAATCAGGCCTACATATAGTGTTCCTTTTCACATGCTGCCTCACTGCATTCCGATAAAGCCAGTTCAAGAACGTAGAGTTCGTTCGTTCCTTAGATGCTCATTTCAAACATCAGTATTCAATAGGTCCAATGTCAGTCTTACTAGCCCATTTGACGAGGTTCTAAAGGACGCGAAGGAGTCTACTATCTTCCGTTCTACTCGAGTTTGGGGACAGCACATGTTTTGAAGAGATAAGTGAAGACAGAGGGGATTCAAGCTGACCCACACTTTAACGAAGATGGTAACTTTGTCTCTCCAAAAATCACTTTCTCTATTTTGTCTGTGTATTGTATATCGTTCTTACACTACTCGGAGTAAATGGTCATGTTTCGTTAATTGCAACTACCTGTGCTCTGCAATCTCCGGCAGCCTTAAAAAGCTCTATTTGCTTTAGGTGCTACATGCATTGGTTTACAACAACTCTTTAATTTCGCAATGGACAAAATCGTAAGCAGTGCTCTAGAAAACTGTAAGGTGCCTCCGAGGTGATTCAGTTTCAGTTTAAACAACCATTAACCGTGCACCTCTGTCTCTTTTGGCTGCCCATTCGGGTGACCAATAGGAGGAAAACAAGGGAGGTTGAAAGTAGGATCGAAGAGAAAATTGAAAGTTCACTGGACTAATGATACAGAGAAATTGAGATGCACCAACGCCACTGTTTGCGACACCCAGTATCTCTCATCATCGGTTACAATCATCCCTGGATCCCCATCCAGGGGGCCTAACAGGACCTATGTGACTTAGTCTCCTGGTTGAGGCTTTCATACCCTCATGCTAGGCCTTAGCTTGACCACCCTTGGCTTTATTCCACCCACTACCTGCCTCGGCAAACATTGCTCGCCGTGGCAACCTATTAGGTGACATGCGTAACACATGCCCCAACCAACGTAATCTATGGAGATCGATCACTTACTTTAGTGGGTGACCGCGGATACCCAAAACTCTGCGCCCAATCGACGACTATTAAACACATTCGAAAACCTGAAGTCCGATTNTCTTCCGCTGGTTGTTGAGACGGACGCATCGGGTATCGCAACAGTCGGGATAACCGACCGGTAGTCTTTTTCTTACGCACTCTGAATCCTAGCGAAAAACATCAATCTGCAGTAGAGAAGGAAGCGTGCGCGATCGTGGAAGCCCTACGCAAATGGAGGCATTATCTTCTTGGCACCAATTCAAACTCATCATTCAACGTTCCGTAGCCTTCATGTATGACCAATGACAGACAACTAAAATCAAAAACGATAAAATCCAGAGGTGGTGACTCGAATTATCTGCCTTTCACTACGATATAATCTACAGACCCGGAAAAGATAATCAAGTCGTTGATACGCTGTCCCGCAGTACCTGTGTTTCCAATTTTAACAACACAAAACTGCGAGACCTGCACGATTCTTCATGTCACCGCGGAATAACGCGAATGGTGCATTTTGCACGCACACGCAATCTACCGAATTCAGTCGAGGAAATCAAAAGCATAATCGCAAAGTGCATTATCTGCGCCGAGCTCAAAACCCGCTTTTTCAAGCCATCTCCCTGCAACCTGATCAAAGCTATACAGCCATTTGCGAGGCTAGGTATCGATTTCAAGGGACTCTTACCTTCGACCTCTCGGAACCGGTATATTTTGTATCATTGATGAATATTCTCGATTCCCTTTTGTTTTTGAATGTCCGGACACGCTTTCATCTACTGTCATCAACTGTCTTTGTCAATTATTTGCTATTTTTGGCAAGCCTGCTTATGTACACTTGGATCGCGGTCCATCTTTTATGCCCACAGAGCTCGTTCGGTTTCTGCTTAATAAAGGCGTAGCGACTAGTCACAAAACTGCTTACAACCCGCAAGCTAACGGTCAAGTGGAGCGCTAAAACGGTACGCTATGGAAAGCGATATCCCTAGCACTGAGGACTAGAGGTCTGCCGACCTCTCAATGGGAAACAGTCCTCCCAGATGCGTTACACTCTACTCGCTCATTGCTTTACGTCACCACCATTAATACACCTCACGAACGATTGTTTTCTTTCCCCCGGCGTTCAGCCAACGGCTCCTCTACAGCGATGTGGTTGACAACTCCAGGCCCGGTGCTGCTCAAAAGAATGGATCGAACTTCGAGGTAGGATAACTTAGTAGACGAAGTTGATTTCATTAGCTGTAATCTACATTATGCTCTCGTGAAAATGCCCGATGGCAGGGAAGAAAACGTTTCCATTCGACGCTTGGCCCCACCGGTTGATCTACTCGTCTGGAGACCAGAAACTTGTGATCTGACAGACAGTGAAACACACACACTTAGAAACTTCTCCTCCAATATCGATAAACAATTCACTTAATCTTGAGATTTTTGACACTTCCCCAGCCCCGACACCTGAATCTGACAATGCACTAGAAATCCTACGACAGCAACAAAGAACGAAACCCTACAATCTAAGAAACAGTGAAGCTTAGCTACCTTCTGCTATTTCCCTTTTTCTTCCAAACAAATCATTAATAATCTTTGGCGAAATTTCTTTTCTTTCTGCCGGGGCGAATTTCGCGTTTGTTATTCGTTCTTTTTCTGTATGCTGTTACTAACGTCGTTCTTTTTATTTTTCAGCCCACGTACTGATATTAACAGACGAGTGAAGTGCATCTTTCCTGTTTGCACCTTCTTTCTCTAATCTCGACAGTAATTGCTTGTTGTCGTCCGCAACACCGACCACCGCCTGTTCC